CTGTGTTTATACAAAGCCATGTTACAGAAACGTAATTGTTTTTCAGAAGGAGTATTAAACAGTCTGGTTTTATTGGATGGAAGCTCTTTATGGAAAATTAAAAACACCAGGTTTCTCTTGTTGAAGACTGAGTTGCCAATGGTTGATAGTTTTTCTGATTTTGACTTAGATAGGTACCAAAAATAATCAATAAGGGAGAAACTTTGTGGTGAGCTTATCAGGACATAGGATGAAGAGATGATCATGCATAGATTGATGCTTAGACCTCATGCACAGCCTGTGACAGCAATAGTTTGGGACTAAGCTGGGATGTCATCTGGCTGTTCTGATCCAGCCCTGTGCCCTCACTAGTCCTGGTCTCAAACTCATCTGGAGCTGTCCATTTATGTTCCTGCAATATGAGTAGTTGATCTCATGATTAGATAGAAGGTGAGTAAAAGTGACAAGAGAGAGGTATCAAGGTGCAGAGCAATGCACCATGGAGAAGATACAGAATACACTGTGATCAGGCTGGAACACTGTCTTGTGTAATTTTGACAACTGCACATTCTCACATATGAGCTGTTTTTGTCTTGTTCGTGCTACAGGGATGTTTGAAATACTTTCAGGGTAACATAGAGGCTGTAAGCCTTTCAATGGAGAATCCCTTCGATTTCTGTCTACCCTTTCCACTCTAGCGATCTACCTTTCATAAAAACTCCAGGCAGCAGAATAGCCTGCCTCTGTTGGATGAGGGCTGGTTTCTCTTTATACCAACCATTGTATGAGAAAGTCTTGTTTGGGCAAACTCTGTTTTTCTGTCTTCTTTTCATATTTTGCTACCTACATTCATAGGTACAGAGCATTGCAAAACCTCAACTCCACTTTCCAAATGCTGTGCTTACTCTTAGAGTGAGTCTTCTTTAACTAGAAATTACAGCTAGACTCAAGAGGAAGAAAAGCAGTGTGGAAATTATTTAACTCTTCTGGAAACAACAAAGTTGCATAATGGTAATTCTGAAGCCTCTCTGTCTGGAAAAGGAAATAGTCAAGCAATAATTTATCACTAATTCAGAATAGCACTAACATCCAAACAAGCAGCTACATTGCCTCAAATTCATTAAGTTCAGTAGAAGTTATATCAGCCCTTCATAAGGTTGCAAAATAATTTTCAGATCTGTATTTTTCTATAACTTTTATACGTAATTTTCCTTGTCTTTTCTGTCCAGTTCCTTATTCCGTATATCCTGTTTGTGGGTTAGAGCTCAATTCCCTTACTGGTTAACAGTTTCTCTGGTTATTTCACTGTCACAGAATTCATGCGGACAAACACTTTTCTTCTTAAAGGGATAGGTTTATAATCTTTATTTCATTACTCTCTAGCAAACTCATCAAGGTCTACTTCTACTGAAAGACTATGGATTTTTTAAAGGCCTGTTTAGATCTTATCATTGGGGAATAGAAAGGAAAAAGTTACAGTTGAGAAGCAAACAGATGGGTTTTTTTTCCTTTATAAATCAGATCTGAATGCATTTTGAAGAATTGCACAATTCCTTGTACAGTCAACTGTTACATATATTTCATTTGCCTGATTAATAATCCCATGCACACACATCTGCTATTCCATTCACTGATGCAGTGTTGCTGTTTGAAGAAAGAGTAGCCTCCAGGGGAAGTTGAAGTGAAATGATCTTTTGCTTTCACCAAGACAGGAAAGTAAATAATGAGAGTATATGTATTCCCAGGCAAAACAAATATTTTTCAATCAAGCTTCTAGCTGAGATGGAAATACTCATAGTAAATTCAGGAATAATGTAGTTGGAACCTTCATAGTTTCTGTGTTCTTGTTACACTGCACTTCTGTACAGAAATGAGCAGTTATTTTGTAAATTATGGAGAATTACACTTGTTAACACTGAGGTGTAGTTAAGATCTCGTTGTGAAAGAATTCTGTACAAATGTATCTTGGTACCTCTGCGAGTCTCTACTGAAGGCAGTGGCAGGCTGGAAAAGCATTGTGTATACAAAGGAATGTGTGGGATGGGAACTAAAACCTGGGGATTGCTCTAGATTTGAACAAACACATTTGAATAATGCAAACATCTTGTATCAAAGCAAATCTTACTGTGCTCCTTACGTGCTACTTCCAGTTCATATCAGAAGCTGAAAAGCCAAAAATATTTTGCACTGAGTTTCCCGGTAGAGAACAAAGAGAGAGGTTAGAAAATAATCCAAATATTTCTTGCATGAGGCTCCTCTGCTGCACAGGCAGTTTGCATTTTAGAGAGCAAGGGTAGCAGGAACTTAATCTCACTTCAGAATCTGTTCAAGTTCCCATTTCTTGATTTACAGCCTACTGTATGTGATAACGAAATAGGTAACTGCTGTCACTTCTGAGAAGGGAAACACAGGAACTGCGGGGATTACTCTATGAGCAGGGCCACAAAAAAAAGATTTTCTATTTTTCCCAGTTCCCAATCTGTCTATCTAGCCTGTCAGGTTGTGCATTAGAATCCACAACATGGCGTCTAATATAAGGTAGCTTATGAAGGCAGAAACCAGTGAGGTACATTAAAGAGAAGCAGAAAGATTTCACCAAGTTTCTTACTCTCTTCTGACTCCTAATGTTCCCTTTACCATTTACTACTCATTTTAACTAAACAAAAGAGAGTCTATTGGTGATTGTAAACCCTTCCACATGTCCAGCAGCTTTTTAGTCTTGAAGAGCTTGTAAATATGCATGACAAGGACAAGGTTTGTTCACAGTGTTGGGAAGAAACTTACTTAAAAAAATCCGTTGGCAATCCTAACATGGCAGTAGTGAATGTTTCAGTGCATTTTAAAGCATGTATGAATGTAATTCATGTAATTTTGTTATTAAAAAGCTGTAGAAAATTTCTCAGAAACCATATATCTAATAATAAACTTCTTCAAGGCCGCATTCCCAGCTTTCAAAGTTTTACGTGCTGAACGTTGTGGGAGACCAAACAGGTGTTCAGGATGAATGTCTCTTGTCCGTAACAAGTGTTGTCATTTGCACAGTATGTTTTCTTAAATTTCAAATAGAAAAATAGCAAAATAATCCATTTATTTCTATAACTTTTAAAATAAATTACCTGTTGAGTTGGCCAAGCAGCTGATCAACTTAGAAGCTCTGAAGACTTCAGATATGAAGTAAAATTACATTATCTCTAAAGTAAAATTACATTGTCTCTACTGGTTTAGTTTTGTTACAGAACTTAAAAAAACCCAAAACATGCATTAGTACAAAATCAAAAGGATCAAAGACAAAACGCTTTATTATACTCTCTGGCCTTTCAATTGGCTTAACTTTCTGTTTAAGTGGGTAAAATCAGTGTTTTGCAAGGTATTTTGGGAGAAATCTTAAACGATTAGTGGTACATATATGTATGTCTGCAGTGGAATTCTGTGTGTGTATGTGTGTGTGTGCATATGCATCAAACAGCAGTGGATGGCTTAAACCTGATAATTTCCATAGTAAATGTGCACTTCCTCCCTTCTCTATATGTGCAAAAGAAACAATGTGGTGCTCTGGGTATAAGTTTTATTATGTCAATCTCGTTTTGGGTGCATTAAATGTGAGTAATTTGTACAACAATACAAGCAGTTTGGAAAGACTGAATTTCTTGGCAATGTTGAAAGACTGAGAAAGTTAAATTTAGGTTACAACTTTAGGTACAACTACTCCAACATGACAGGCCATTTATATAATGTGATACAATCAAATGGAAGGCAAAAGGAGCAAAAGCCCAATTGAAAAGCTCTTGTTAATGAAATTAAAAAAATCGCTGAACACACGCTGAACTGTACTGATTGAAGACACAGTTCATTCCTCAATATTTAAATTTTTTTCAAACACCTGTTTATTATGCTTTGTAGTGATAATTCCTTGTTTACAAACAAATTATTCAGAACCCTTCCTATCAATAACATTCCTGCTTCATGCTATGAGTTTTACATATTAACTCACACAAAAAATCCAGATCCTACTCAAACAAGTTGTGAGTTGGATATGTCAGTGTATTTGCCATAGCTACACACCTGCTGCCACTGTCAGCTGGGAAAGGACTCCTTCTTTCAGGGGGCCCCTGGAGCCCAAAGGTAGTCCCAGCCCAGCACAACAGGACCAGCTCACTCCCTTTGCTCCCATCCTTCACCATGCTGAGTTTTACTTGTGCGAAATTCAAATGTATTGAGCTTTTGTTTTCAGTTCATAATAAAGACTGGTCCAGAAAGTTACTCAATATGGCTGTTCAATTCAAATATTTATTTCTGAATAAGGCTGCATTTTATCCACTTGGAATTGTTCAACTTTTTTTTTTTCCCCAAGAAGTTCAGTATCTTTGAAAGTATCTGGGTGCATTGTTTGTCATTTCTTCCCATTTCGCTTCAGATATTTTCATTTTCCATCCACACATGCACCATGTTTTTCAGATATAAAATGGAGAAGAGAAAGAGGGACAAAGCAAGGGTGGGGGGAGCAGCAGGGAAGAACACTGCTGAGAATGGAAAGAAAAACTCACGCACACACCCCTCAAATCAGAAAAATTTTTGTTTTCATGAAGGAACTTGCAGTTCTCCAAAGACTTGGCAGGAATAACCCTAATATGGTACATTACCCAGGTCCTAGTACAATCTGTACTTCTCACCACAGACACTCAAATTTTTAGGTATGCATTAATTTTAAAGTAGTATTTTTTTACATTTATTATATGTCCAATTCCCAATTCCAGATATAAACAGAAATTATAATAAGCCCAAAAGGAGCTACATGGGCACTCTCTAAAGGCAGTGCCTGAATGAATATTTTAAAAGATTGTATCATCAAGGTAAGGACATAACAAAATGCTCAGCTTCTCTTAACTCTACAGGAAGATGTGCCAGCCAATCAGCAGTACCACAAGCCTCAGACCAGGAAACTCTTTAAAGTACAGTACGTGTGAACATTGTAACAGGACTTTCTCATTGCTGCTTTGTTTTTCTCTTCTTTGTGCTTGTAGCGTAGGAAGTCACATTTGAGGTTACTCATGGAAAAATTTGAGAAGGGTAGCGAAGACAGAGAGGATGATCCTGCTCAACGTCAACCCTTCAAAATCCCAAGAGAAGAAATTCCTGAAGGATTACAACAGGAAAGGAAAGCAGCATTTGAGAAACTAGCAAGTCAAGGAAATGTAATGTGTACTCCAGGACCCAGTACCTCTCATGAAACTGTTAATCCTAAGCCTCTCCTGGCAGTCAAGCCTTCAACTGATGACAAAAGAGAGTATGATCCAAAGCCATCACATTTGAACCCAGTGGCACAAAGGTTTGGTGTTCATCTTCAGCCAACTAACAGAGAAAATTATGGAAAAACTGAATGCACTAAATTCCCCATCATAACCTGTGACTTGGCAAAAGGAGACCCAAAGCCTCTATGTCCAAAACCTGCAAGGAACAAGTTCCCCAGCTCTGCTCCTCCTGATAAAGAAGAAAATACTCTGGGAGCAAAACCAAATTCAGATTTGGCATCACAGAAGAGTGAGGCAAAACCAGCAGTTCCAAACGTAACAAGAATTACGAAAAAGTTAATGTCTGCAGCACAGGAAAATGCACCCAAGCCTTCTCTCTTTAAAAAACCTTGTTTTAACATTGGGGTCTCTAACAATTCAGACACTTCTAATAAATGTGGTTCTGTTCAAAGCAGTCTATCAGGCCCTAGAACAAATACACACTTACTTAAGAAAGTAAAGGAAATGAGTGAAAATAACTCAGCTGTAGAAGCTGCAGGCAGTCATCTTCCTAAAATATCTCTGAAGCCTGCTGGCCACTCGCAGTGCTTATTTCAAGCCACCTCAAAAAACGTGGAGGAAGAGACTGAAGAAAAGGGAATGAGTGTTACCAAGACCACCATTGCCAAGAAAGTCAACCAGGAAGGATCAGATTCTTCTCCTAAGTTTCATAAAATCAATACAGCACTTGGTGCAGAAAGGTCATCAGATGAATCACGAGAGAAAGAGGATGGACACAGGAGTTCAAGACGCCCCAGGCAAAGGGTTTGGGGCCCAGTGGTCAAGATGGCCCTGAACCCACCAAAGCCCAACAGACCCCCACATGTGGAACTACGAGGATACCAGAAGAGCGCCCCAAAAAAGAGTAAGTCCACTCTCTTCTTTCTTTCTTGAGTGTTGGCTTCTTGAAGCATTTAGTACCATGTTAATTTCAGATGGAATCCCCTCTTCTGTTCAGAAATAACATGGCACTTGTGCATCAGACAACCCCTTAAAACTTTAACTTATTCTTGTGTACAATTTATGTTTCCGTACAGGACAGAAATTAAAATTATGTTTTCTATTCTCCAGCGATAAAAAGCAGGATGAATGCTTTCTGTATTTGGTTTATTTGTGTCAGGGAACATATTCTCAACAGACATTTAAGTCCTGATTTCCTATAAATGAGATGTTGATGTCCTGTTCTTGACAGTAACTTCATGGCCACAGGGCCATCAAAATATTATATATATAATATTGCATATATTAAATCATAATCTGTAGTAACCACACTTTTTTTTCCCTTTTTGCCTTTCACAATGACTAATCACAGCAAGAGTCTAGAATGTGATGTATTTTAAAGTTTGTGACCCTGGAATTTGATGCATTTTAAATTTTGTTTATAAAATTGAACACTATACAAAATGACAGAATTAAATGTTCTTACATGGAACTGCAATGATTTTATACCCAGATCTGAATTTGGACTCCAAAAGCATCTCCCAGACTTAGCATTTTCTGTTGGGTTTGGATGACTTCAGTAATGTGGCAGCTAGTAGTACCTGAGGATCTGTCTCATTATTTTTTTGAAGAACCAAGTCTCTGAACTGTATGATGGCCCTAATATTAAGGCTTGTCACTAGCTTTCTGTAACATTTGAGATGGTCTTGCATCTGACAAGAATGTCTGTAAATACATTTGAAATATCTGACAGGACACAAATCCATGTGAAAAAAAAAAAGAAATTGCTGTGACTCCATTTCTGCAAAGACTACTGCTTCAACAAACTCCGTTCACTGCATGAGAGAAGCTCAACAACAGTAGAAGCTGTTTCTGAGGCACTCAAAATATGCCTTTGAAAAGCTCACATAAAAATGTAGATTTCTGAAGTCAGATCCACATGTTCACTGTGACCTCCTTGAAGGAAAGACCTATTTGCAGAGATTCCAAATGCCTTTGATTCTCCCCTAGATCACCTGTATTTCAAACTTTTGGGTTAGGGTTTTTCCTCAACAGCTTTTAGTCACTCTTTGACAGTGCCAGCTGACAAATTTCTAAGTTTTATAGTAGCTGAAGGAGGCTCTCTGTTTTTCTCTTCTAGCAACAGGTGTTCACAACTATGAATATGTAAGAAATACTGATTGCATTTAAAAATCAAAGTTTTAAATTGTATGGTGGACAGGGAACATCCCCCTCAGTGCATGAGAGAAATAAGAACTGAAATAAAAAATTATTACTGTGTTACATTTTTATGGGATTTTCTTTTTTTTTCATTTTTTTTCTTTTTTTTTTTCCCCTTAATGCACTGCTGTCTGTGTTGAGCACAGGAAGAAAAGAATATATTCTATCCCTATATATATATTTTTTAGGTCACATAATTTTAACCTGTTGTGTCCTATGTCTAACTGTGTACAGTTAGACACATTTCACCTCTGTTAGTTTGCCTTAACCATTTCTCTTAGATTTCATTCAACAGATCAAACTTTGATTCTTAAATTTTTGTTGCAGTTAGTGGGAAAGGGAGATGCCCGACGGTGTGATTTAGAGCTCTAAAGTAGCTGACAGTGGATGCTCTGAGTAACTCCATGCTGTGCATGTGCAGTACATCAGGTACATTCATGTAATTTTGTAGATACATAGTTTGCCCTTGTACTTTCTGTATCTAGAATACAGTATGGGTTGTGCTTCAGCAGTTCTGAATACATATAAGGCTGGTTTTCCTGAGACAGAAGATATGAAAAAGCTCGGAGTTGTCTTTCTCTACAGACAAAAAACCTTCCTAAAAACACAGAGTCTGCATGCAACTATATATTGTATTACCATTAATTCCACTCAGAAATTAGGAACATATCAGTAGCAAAAAAATGTACTTTCTTGTCAGCTGCCATATTCTGGTTTTTACCTGTTAGCCTATAGTTGAGGAAATCCAAGATCAGGCCAAGATCCTCAAATGGTGCAAATTTGTGTATCTCTTTAAAAGAAATATACCAATATACAATGTCAATATAGAAAGGCAGAATTTTCAGCCAATTACACCAGCAAATATTCTGATTAAATAAAAACAGAAAGAGCTTTGCTGGCTAATATTTTAAGAAGTCCTGAAAAAGGCTGGTAACAAAAAATGACAATTTATGTTTTAAAAAATACATTTTATGGTTTAAGTAATTAATAGAGGAATTATTTTATTTGTTTGCCTGTTTGCTCTTTATTCAATTTTTTTCCTGATTTCCATTCAGTTATAGACACAAAGCATTTTTTTCAACTTCTTTTTAAAACTGAGGGTTAGAAATATTTCTCCTGTGCATTTTAAATTAACACTATGAGCAGGGCTGTAAGAATAATACCAGAACTTTTGCTAGAAGTGGGGTCTCCAGTTGTCACTAACCAAGAGTTAGTGCAGCCATTAGATTGGATGAGTCACACTGGGTACTAAGGATGGAGCTGCCCAGCATGGTGGCACGGGTTGTTTTCCAAACGTTACAAAATGCACACCCAACTAAGTAGAACAAAAGAATCAGACATGGTCTTCTCTATCTCACAGTCACAGGCTCAGGACAAGACTGAAAGATTTAGAAGCCACATTAGTGAGAAGCTGTTCATAGAGACCCTGAACTTCAGCCTTCCCCCACAGAGCTGGCATGAAGACCCTGATGTTCTTTAATTATCTTTAATTAATGCAGCTCATTTCTTTGTGGCCAGAAGTCTGCATAGAACAGTTCTGGTGGACAGCCCAGGGGACCTAGAGTGAATCCTGAACAAATTCCTTTTCAGATCAACAGTTATTCACTGTTGCTGTATTTCTTAGAACATAAGTAACAAAATCTACCTGCTTTGCAAGAGCAGTTAAACTGAAATGTATTCTCTTTTTCTTTTTAACTGTCATTTCAAGAATCAAAGTAACGTCAGGAAGACACCGCCCCCACAGAACAAAGTCTTCCCGCTCATTACTGTGTCCTGATAAACAGCAACTTGCCATAGTTGCTTAATTTGGCACCATGATTCAGGTGCTGAATAAAAGAAGAATAAGCAAATGCAAATAGTTTTCCCATGCAACAAAGCTTTCTGAGATCTAACCTTCAGATCTTTTGGTCTGTATTAGGGCAAAGGTTAGGCTTTGTGTTGTCGTTTGAGAAGAGAAAACCTTTGCACATGGTGGTGGTTACATTTGTGTTAGGGGTATGTGCCTGCACAGCAGAAAACCTTGTACTGCCTGATTTAAAATAGGACTTTGAATTCTGCTTTCTCAGAAGTATCAGTTCACCCCCTTTTCTTTGTTTGTTCTCCTTTCCCAGGAAAGCTGTTTTAATGGGTTTTATACATAAGTATTCACTGTGCATGAAGTAACATTAAATGTTAGATGCTGAAGAACGTACCTTTGGCGCAGCAGTCTTAGTCGCACGTGGGAGAAGAATTTAAACCATCCACCACGTCTGCTTGAAAACTCAGGGATGCTAGTTTGGTGTTGGCATTGTTGTGGATTAGAAATTTTCACCTAGTCCTGAATAAAACTTGTGTAGATAACAAAAGGCCTTTTTGAGGAAAGTTTGACTACTGATGTGTTACCATTTTTCAGTCAAGTCAGTCTTTAAGAAATTCCTGTCTGGACCTGTGAACGCATGACAGGCTGGTAAATTCCTCTGTTATGTCCCATTACAGCAATTTTCCCTGAAAGGAGATCATATTTACGTCAGCTAAGAATCAATAATTCTGAACCACACATGTGCTCTCTAGTTCAGAAAATAATACCAACTGTACTCTTTTATAATAAACATCTGAGATCTTAGGAAAAAGAAGAGAAGTAAAGTCATTTTGCTGTCAGCTTTCCATGTGGGGTCACAACCATACTGTTGCTTCCAGAGGAGAACCCCATCTGGGCTGACCCCAGTGGGATCATACATGTACTGGTGAAGTCAGTTGGAGGCTGAGAACCCCTTGTGCTCCACACATCCCTGAACAACTGGTGAACCATCAACACTGGGGCTTCAGCTAGGGAGAATATTTTGAGCTGTATGGTGACCAATAAAAGGATGCTCTGCACAGAATTTAGGAGGAAAAAAAAGAGATATGTAAGAAAATTCTCACTATTTATATTTTGGGTTATGTATGTGCAGTTCTTGTTGAGGTTCTGTTCTGTGATGGACTGTATACCCACACAGTGACATGACTCTTTCAGTTGGGTAAGACAATCAGAGAGAAAGGAGGAATTTGAGGTGCATTGTCATAGTTATCACAACACTCTTTTGGCAAAGTAATTAACAATAAAGCCCCACTCCCAAAGACAGTAAGTGTCTTAACTGTCTTTGCAAAGTTGTTTAGAACAAGTCTGTTGCTGTTCTTACTTGATGGTAAGATGATACAGCAGCTTCCAAAGTTATAAATAACTGAGGATTTTTATTTTTTTTTTAATCACTTGGTGTCATGGCTATTTACTGCAGAATTTGGATTTATATCTTAGAAGATTTTTCTTTTCATACCTCAGTGCCACACTGAATAAAGTTATGCAACAACTCAGTATTAAGGTGTAAGGGGATAAAAGAGAATTGTAACTCGAGCAAACCCTCTGCTTCTAAGATAGATGAAACTAGAAATAGGTGATGATATCTGATGACACTGTTCAGGGTGGGGTGGCAGTCACTGTATGTAATGATGTGATGCCAGTGATTGCATAGATGAACTGCAACATGCCATAAAACCCTGTATGGCTCAAGAAAGTGTCAAAATTATGATCAGAATAGCATGATAATTATGTGTCTGGATTTTGTTATATATAGATTAAATGTTGAATTTTAAGCAATATCAAAAATGTACTGGAGTTAGACTATTCATGAGAATTTGAAGATCTGCAAGGCTTTTTACGTATTGTATTATTACATTTCATGATGTTGA